ATTTTAGGGATGCTATGAAAAATGTAGAAAGCATGATCATAAAAATTTTGAGCTATTAAAAAAAGTTAAAATCTAAATGTTGGGTGCTTCAATAATGACAGTTAGGTGTTATGCAGTGACTCCTGTGACTGATGCATGCTTGAGACCCTGTCCAGTCTGATTTGACCATTGTCACAGCAGGAACCAGAGCAGGTGAATGGCAGAATCAGGAGTTAGAGAATGGAAAAGAATGAGTGTATATACTTTTTTTTTTAACCCAGTTTTGAGGATTGGCAAATTCCTGCCTGTAACCGTGTTGGGATCCTGGGACCGCAGATACTAGATAATTATGACATAGAAAGTCTTGTTTTAATGGAAGCTCGGCATGATCTACAGAAATACCAAGGAGTGCTCCACATTTGATGTTTTTTGGATTCCTCTCAAGCATTTTACTTCCTTTGGACACAGAATAATCCCCAAGCCCATCTGAAATTGAGAACAGGGTCTGTAAGTCATTTTATAAGCTCCATCCTGTCCCTTAGGTGTGTCTTCCCAGTGCTGGAATGCTAATGCGGCACAGACAAAAGCAGGACCATCTGCAAATAGCACTTAACCTACAGATAACAAAAGGGAGGGAAAGGGAGGGATGAGAGAGGAAAGGAAGGGGTAAGAAAGGGAGAACCTCAACCCATTTATCTCTAACTCATTTACCTGAAAAAGTATAATAGGTAGGTAGATAGATCAGTCAAATGATAGATGGATAGTTATGAAATGCTTCTGAAGTATTTAATCAGCTAGGGGCTGGTTTTGATAAAGAGCATGAAACAACTCATTTGACTGCTCTTTGTTTGACCATTAACTAGCCGCTGCAGTGACCAGTTATGACAACCCTGAGAGCAGACCACCTGGTCAAATATTTATTTATACAATCTCATCCATGGTCATCTGATTAGTAAGACTTTAACCTTCAGGTAAAAGGGAGGAAAAGGTCTAATATATTTATAGCCGTCCTACCTCAGCCAAATAAGAGGAACTTACTTCTGTTTCAAGGAGCCGACTTATCCCCTCATGTAGGACCCTGTTTAACAGATTGTTTCACCAGCTCTGCAAGGAAAGTAGCCTGCGGCACCTTCTCAGGAGGACTTGGCCTAAAGCCCCCTCTGCTGTGACCACTGTCCAGTCAGACATTTCTGGGTCTGGAGCATGCTTCCCTGGAGGAATCGTGCCAAAAACTCTCCACATCCTACCTCTGAGCATGGGGAGATCCTAGGCACACATATACTGAAGCCAGAAATCTACTCTTATCCAGAACAGTACAGATTTTAAATTTCAAATTTTACTTGTTACCTTTTCACTACATTGATAGCAAACCATACTAATGAGTATAGTTTAGGATTTTTTATATATGGAATTTATTGCATCCTTAGGAAATATTTATTGTCAAGCTTTTAAAATATAGTGTGTCCGGAAAATATATACATTCACTTTCAATAATTATAAGACAGTTTTTATTAAAGATACATTTCATCGCCTGGCCAGTGTACTTAGTGTTGAGCATCAACCTCTGAACCAGGGGATCACAGTTCGATTCCTGGTCAGGGCACATGCCTGGGTTTCGGGCTTGATCCCCAGTAGGAGGCATGCAGGAGGCAGCTGATTGATTATTCTTATCATTGATGTTTCTATCTCCCTCTCCCTTCCTCTCCGAAATCAATAAAAATGTATTTTTAAAAATACATTTCCTTTACAAAATTGAGCTATCAGCTGCTAAGTGTGTATACATTCTGGTGGGACACCCTGTATATTGGTAAATTTCCCTCACAATTACTTTGTATCCTTCTTTGTATTAAAAAAATATTTTTTTTAAACCAGGCAAGGAATAACCTCCCAGCCCCCTGTCCAAGGCTCCTCTTGGGGCTCCTCTGACCATACCCTCTAGTGAGGTGAAGAGTCTGTGCAGCCAAGGGGACATGCCCACTGAGAGCTAATTTCTAAATCAGGCTCACAGATCCTGGGATCCCGGCTATCCTGCTTCCAGGGTCCCTGTGGACCTCTTCCATCTCTCCTCAGGTCCATTTTCCTCAGACATACTGGCCAATGGCATGAGCACCAGGTCTGATGGATGGCCAAGGGACCACTGTATGGGGGAGGGAGGGTGATGATGTGTGGATAGGAGGGCTGGGTGTCCACACGTGTGCAGGGGAGGTGCCTCGTGGTGTGGGACAGAGTCAACTGAAGAAAGAAAAGGTGATGGGCTGCAAGCCAGGGCCTTGCACTGCCCATACCATCATGTTCTTTCAGAGAACTTCAAGGAGTCCAAATATTGACCCTAGCTTGCCAGGCCATTATATATATTATTGCAGTGCAAATATTTAGGCATCAAATATGGGCCTTCATTGTCCTTTCCAACTATGCATTTATCTTACCCATTCCTATTTTCTCTGCCTCCCTTTTACTCTCAGAAAAAAAGTAATATCTTTCCTCCTTCTCCAAACAACCCTCTGACTATGAACCTGACTCCTCCCACTGCCTCCACTCTGGGCCTGAGAAACGAGAACCCCTCTCCCCCAGTAGACCTCCACGTGCTGCTCTAATTCTCTTTTTATAACACAAACTTTTATTGAAATTGTCCCCCAAAAGTCACCATTGATTCTGGTGCCCAGAGGTCATTAGTCATCATTCTCCTTGATGGCATGGTAATGTAACTCGGCACCATTGCACAACCACTTCCTGAAACCCTGCACTCCCGTGTCCCCGGCTCTGGCCTGCTCTGGCCCTGCTCCGTCCACTCCCACTCAGCTCCGAGTCTTTCCTTCACTCCACCAGGGAGGAAGTGCCCCAGGTTTGGGAGGAGGGGCCCACTGCTCTTCTCTTTCTGGGAAGACACCCTCGGCAGTCATGTGTCTCCCTCCTGAGGATGACAGCCACATCTCTGACTGCATTAAGTAGATTTCCTCCCTGATGCCTCCCCGAGTGCATGATTTTGGCATGTCTGAATTGGAATTCAACTTCCCCAATAACCTAGTGGCCTTGTGACTTCCTATTTATACATAAAAATTATTTCAACAGGAATTTTTTCTATTCATTTTAAACACATGGTTTCGGTTATATTATGGGTTGTTTTTTTGTCATCTAGCTTGGGCTAACCACCATTTTTTTACATGGTTGTTGGGGTTGGGGGGGGGTGAAATTTATTCCAGCTTATAAACAGTTTATTTGTAAGAAGAATGTAGCCCACACGGGAAAGGGAATTTCCCTATTGCAGACATTTTTAAAGCATTTGTGCAGTAGACACACCAGGTACACTCATGGATACTGAAATTCAAAGGTGAATAAGATATGGGCTTACTTTCCAAGAACTCACCAGTTAAAAAGGAAGACATGTAAAGAAATAGTTGAATTCCCTCACAACACTTACAGAAGTGTGTTACACATAGTAGGAGTTCCAAAGACAGCTGTTGACTAATGCAGTTGGTGAACAGACAGTAGTGATTCTTAAGCATTTTGTGCCATAATACTCCAAGTACTCCCTGGAATCTTTGCCCCAGACCCACACTCAGAATTTTCTTTGCAGATGCCCCAATATCCCAGGTACCCTGAGTTCTAGTCATATCAACATTACAAAAATTCTTAGTGGGAAGGGAGGAGAGAATTCAAGGTACACTCAATAGTTGGAGAGAACCCTTTGCCCAGTTTAGTCTGCCTCAGGCCCCACTTCTTTCCAGATGCTGTGAAAAGCAGCATCTCCCTCTCAGCTCTAGTATCTTCTCATCTGACATGACTTTCTCCTGCACATTGTTAGAGAATTTTAAAGGTCATTTATAAATTGAAAAATATATAATTTTATAACCCACTGTCAAATAGAAAAGTGGGTTATAAAATTACATGGGCAATGTTACCCATTTTGGTTAAAAATTATGTCTATTTAAATGTGCATATGTGTGAATATGCAAGCCTAGGAACTTATATAATACAACAAAACAGTAACAGAAGTTATCTTTAAGTATTGAGATTATGGGTAATTTTTACTTCCTTTCTTTTCTTTTCTGTCATTTGTACAATGAATATGTTTTAATTTGTGTTCAGGAAAAAAGAGCATGTGTATTAGTTTGCCACTGCTGTGTAACAAATTACCACAAACAACAGTTTAATGCAAGATCCATTTATTAACTATCAGTTGGTTAGAAATCCAGCAGGTTGATCAGTCTTCTCTGCTTGGGGTCTCATTAGGCTGAAATCAGGATGCCAGGCAGGCTTGGCTTTTACCTGGAGGCTCTGGGGAAGAATCTGCTTCCAAAACCATTTAGGTTGTTGGCAAAATTTGGTTCCCTGTGGTTGGAGGACTATGGTCCCTGTCTCGCTGGCTCTCAGCCAGGGCTGCTTCTAGATGCTACTCTTGGGGCCTTGCTCCGTGCTCCCTGCCAGTTCAGCCGCAGGTAACTCCCACATGTCAAGTCACCCTCAGCTTCAAATCTCTCTAGCATTCTGTTACACTACCGGCAGAAAAAAACTCTCTGCTTTTTAAAGGGCTCAGCTAGGTCATCTCCCTTTTGACCAACTCAAAATCAACTGATTAGTAACCTTAATTACATCTGCGAAATTATTTTGCCTTATAAGGTAACATGAGTGATATTCACAGGCCCCTCACTTGCTAAGGGAATAGTGTATACAGGCTGTCTAACAGGGGCCAGGAGTCTAAGGGCCACCTCAGAATTCTGCCTACTACAGTGTGTGTGTGTGTGTGTGTGTGTGTGTGTGTGTGTGTGTGTGTGTATTTAACTCTCCCTTAAAGAATGGAATTCTTGGTAGCATCTCAGTGGCATCTTCTGCCTCCTTTTGGAGAACAGAGATCACACAAGAGGGTGGACCAGAGTGAAGGAGCCTGAGCTGTGTTGCCTTCAGAGAGAATATCCACTCTCCGAAATTCTGAGCATTAACCAATGGGAGAGTGGGGCTTATAGGTCCAATGGCAGTTCTGTCGTGGACAGAGGCTTCTCACTCTCCAACTCTCTTGCCTGCAGTATGACATCGCTGGACACTCTGGAGATGACTACAACATTGATCTGGTTCCAATGAACAAAATCCCCAAGGACAACAAGCAAAGACTAGAAGTTCTGAAGGTAAATACATTGTTACCGCTATGCTGTAAAAGCTCCCAGCAGATTAGGCAAAGTATCTTCTGGTCGCTGCAAAAATTCCCTGAAGAAGCAGCAGATTCAGGGGAGACTTTCTGTCTCACAAATATTCAGACTAAGAAAATACTCGCACCTAAAATCCTTCTCTCCACCACATCAAATTTAAACTTCGTTCCCAACGTATTTTTCAGGTATTGGGTATTGTGTCAGCGTTCTCCAACCAGGGTTACCTCCTAACTCCTATGCTCTTCTTCCCAGCCCGGCTATTTCAGTAGAAGGAGAAAAATGACCTCTTATAATATATTCTATAACCCTAATTTTATGTATTTCTTAGTATTTAATGATAAATTTAGTTTTACATACTTAGATCTACAATAGAAACATACGCCATGATTTAAATGTAAATTCCCTCTATTGCTATTGATGTAAGTATATTGTTTCATATTATAACTTTGTTTATTAGAAACTCCACCCATTCCTTATTTTTCTCCTGTGTTACCTTCATCCTCCAGTGTGATACCAAGTCTTATATTTTCTTACATTTTCTTACTTTATTTTTTTTATTTTATTAAATTTTATTGGGATGACATTGGTCAACATGAACATACAGGTTTCAGGTGTGATTTCTAAGTTACAAGATCTGTATATAGCACCATGTGCCCACCACCAAAGTCAAGTCTTCTCCTATCACCTCATATTAGGACCCCCTTTTTCCCCCCCATCCCCCCATTTTCTCACTTTAAATGGCTAAATTTTAAAAACTAAATATCAACTGGGGTTCTTTTTGGAACATTTCCTATTTCTAACAAAAATCTGAACCACATACAAATATCACTGGGCGCTGTTGTCACCCCACGGGGCCAGTTATAAGAACTCACTTAAGACTTCTTATTCACGTATAATAACTGATATTTGTGAATATTTATGGTCAGAAGAAAAATCAGGTTTGTTAAAAAGGTGTTTCTCATCTGTGGCTTTTGTGCAACATCTCCTATCCCCAGACGATGCATGCCCATGCTCAGTTCTGCATGAGTGGGGACCACACTTTAGAGGGGACAAAGCATGCCATCCAGGAGATTGTCAAAGAAGAAGCTGATGAGTACTTCGTCATCGTCTTGAGTGATGCAAACCTATCCCGATATGGGATACATCCTGCCAAGTTTGCCCAAATCCTGACAAGCAACCCTCAAGTTAATGCTTTTGCCATCTTTATCGGATCTTTAGGTGATCAAGCAGCCAGGTAAGTGTTGCTCCGGATGGAGACATATGTGGGGCAGGCACAGAGATAGTTGAGTCCCTGACGCACGGCATTTCCTGGGCATATCATCTTGAGGGGTAGGGGCCCTGGAGGAAAACAGACTCCAGAGGGGCTTCTGAAGGAGCTGATGGAGTAGTTGAGAGGATATGACGTTCTAGCTTATGTTTGGATGAGCAACAGTAATTTTAAATTAATTTATTTTTCAGCTTATATTTAAACTTACCAACAATAAAATAAATAGCGAATTGATTTGTCTAGTAAATTTAACAGTATCTTACACATTTTGTACTGTACATCTAAGTCTCAGTTCTAATCAATTTATGTTCAAAATTTACTCAAAGTAGCAATCATCTACTATTTTCATAGCACGAGAGATTGTGTGTGTCTGTATAATGTACTAGTATATAGACACTTACAAACATATATGTGTGTGTGTGTATCATTTAATTTGTGTGTATATGTATCATACATTTACATAGACATACACACACACACACACACACACACACACAAAATACATAGAAATGCATGTGTCTCCCTTGCTGGGGAGAGGAGGCAGGGTAAACACTTGGAGACAATGTGGGGCAGTGTTTAGAGGCAGATGCTGCACTGAATATACTGAATATTTGGGAGAGGAACTGCTGGTAAGACAATAAGCACCATTGTGGATGATCTGAAGGCAGAGATCTGGAAACACTTTCAATGACTTAAACACACTAACATTTCTCTTTTTGAATTACAAACAGAGCTCATTTTTTTTTTAATCTACTGAAAATACTTTAGGAAGTACAAAACACAAGTGAAAATATACCTCCTCCCCCACCAAAATATAATTCCTGCCTGAAACTCAAAAGGCCACGTGCCTCTGCTGTCCCACTGTGTACCTGCCGTACTCTGGTTCCGAGTCCTATGTGGACTAGGAAATGTTTTAGTGTCCAAAGTGCTGGCATTTTTTCTCTTTTCTGTTCCCTTCTCTATGCTACAGGATTGCACAGTTCCATTGAGAATAGACTTAATATCACGTAACTACAGTCACTTTATGACTTCGCATTTTTCTCAGTTTTGGGTGTTAGCCTTTTCTAGAACTTCCGTGTCCTTGAACACAAACCATGTCTTTTTTTACTCAGATTTTCTTCATGACCAGCACAGCAAACTCAGCAGCAATTGCTGCTTGAGCTGAAATAGCTATTTTGTCTTTCTAGTGAACAGATCCTGTTTGAATACTTAAGAAAGTACAATAATACCCTTGTGGTTTCCTAGGGAAATGGTCCAACATCTACTGGCAAAAGATATGTTGCAGAATTAGCTGGTCTACCGGGCATGCCAAATGTATGATACTACACAAGATGGTTGACTTTTATTAAATGTCATTCGAAAACCAAACTTTGCTGGCACGGTGAAAGAAGGCTTTCTTTTGGATAGAATTGTGTCTTGCACTTTTATTGCCTTCAAAAATGGCCCTTTGTTCCAAATGATAAATTGGCATTTTAAAAAAATATCATAAGCCTATATAATCTCAGTGCCATCAAAGCAGCAATTGCATAAGTCAGATTGCATTTCACATTGTGTGTGAGGGGCAAAAAGAGAAGGGGGGTAGAATAGCACTTGAGGTTTAGCTGGGCAGCATTTTTCAAGGCCTGTTTTCTAGCAGGAAAAGTACTTAGAAATACAGTGAGGCCAACATAGTCACTGGACCCAGGTGAGCTAATTTCACTTTGGTTCCAGGGCTCTGTCAAAGAAATATTCACTGATTTTCTCACTGAAAAGAGTTTTCAGTTTAGGTTTTTTTGTTTGTTTGTTTGTTTGTTTTTTAGTTTACAGTTTGTGGGGGCAGGAAGTGGAAGGGGCACCCCAATTTGCAATGGTAATTTCCTCTCCCTTTCCATCCTGGCAGGCTTCAGAGAACTTTGCCCGCTGGCCGGTCTTTCATTGCCATGGATACCAAGAATATCCCTCAGATTTTGCAGCAGATCTTCACCTCCACCATGTTGTCCAGTATTTAAGAAGTGCCCTTTATCACCCTGAGGCCTGGGATTTGCAATGAGATGGGAATAAAGAGTGCTCTGAAGAAAAGAAGGCACAACAAAGAGAACCTATGCAGTGACTAGATAATTCTGACATCCCTGGCTCTTCCTACACTTGCCCAGTAACCAGAATTCAGAAATGTATCCAGAGGGGGCTTGTGAATGGAAATTACAACCATTGCAGACTTACAAGTAATTAAGGAAGCAAGTTGAGCTGCATTTTATAAAAGGTGAGGGTGAAAGGAAGGTGGTATGACTACCTTGGTGCTTGGTCCATTTCCAAAAACCTGAGGGATGGAGAATACCTAGCTTTGCCTTAACACATCATCATGACATCTAAGATAACAAAAGTGACCCCACTGTGAAGCCCTGATGCCACATTCTGACATTGAGATCGAATCTGTACAAACCCACCCAAAAATTAATTTTCTCTTCTCCCCACTTTGTGTTGCCCAACAATGATGTGATAGTATTAAACCCACTGAAAGTCCTTCTAACAGCAGCATTTTATAAAAGGTTGGATTTTCTCAGTAATTCCATTTTCTTGGCCAAAACCAAAAGGAATCAAAAGATCCTTGGATTGCTTCCTGTCCCACGTGACTTTTAAAAGGTTCTTTAAATAATAAAGAGCAAATGCCCTGTTCTCTGGGGGGCTGGAAATGGAAGGATAAGGATGTCTGACATTGAGTTCCTGTTTCTTCTTGTTCTTCTACTGCTTCTCAGAAGTTTCACACTACTCCCTCTTGGTTTCCAAAATGCAGTCTCAACATAACAAATGCTTATGTTTTTACTTAAAGCAAAGTAGAAACAAGGCAGTACATTTGAACTGAATGATAACTGGAAATTTCTTTAGCTATTAAAAAAAAAAATACCCTGTTCAAGCTTCATTCTTTTTCTTTCAAAGTGTACCTTACTCCCACCTGTCTTGGACTGACCCTTATTTATCAATAGGCTCAATGTCACTTAGTTTAAAATCAAATGCTTCAATAGAACTCAGTATCTCTCCAGCCATATAATAAAAAGTTCCTCTTCACCACTGATGGTAAAGTCAGAAACACTGGGGCACCAGTGTGTGTGCCTTCTTTCAAGTTGGAAAAACTAGCCTTGCTAATAATGTTACCTAATTCACTCACATGGACTAGTAGTAGTGAAATTGTACAGATGAATTTCACTGTCATTAATTAGAGGAAATGTAAAAAGATAACCCATTTGTTCCAACACCCCATCTCCCTATCAGCTGTCAAAGAAATAAAAGCAAGCGGATTTCCAATACACTGTTGCCAATGAGTTTGCAAGGCACGTCTTGTTTTCCTAACCAGAGCCTGCCCTGTGTGTTGAATCATCCAATAGTGCAAACAATTGCAATGCAGTGAGTACCTCTAAAAATGTAGTTACAGCCCAGCCAGTGTTGCTTAGTAGTTGAGCGTTAGCCTGTGCACCAAGAGGTCACCACTTGAATTCCCAGTCAGGGCACATGCCATGGCTGTGAGCTCAATCTCCAGCAGGGGGTGTGCAGAAGGCAGTCAATAGATATTGATGTTTCCTTCTCATCGATGTTTCTCTCTCTGTCTCTTCCCTTCCTCTCATTAAAATATCAATAAAACACATAAAAATGTAACTATATTAACAACAATAAGAACATCAGCAGCTAACATTTACTGTGCACCAGGTATGCTAAATGATTTCATGTGTTATTTCGGTCAATCCTCACAGCAATGCATGCAAAATAAGTACTTTTTACCTCATTTCACAGACAAGGAAACTCAGGCTCAGGAACTTGCGTCACTTTCCCAAGATTCACAGTAGTAGACTATTGACTATTCATGGCACTACTAAATTCCTCAAATAAAACTGAGGCTTAGAGAAGTTCAAGGAAATAGACCAGGCTCACTGTCAGGCGGGGCAGCGTCCGACAGTGCTGGTTGCCCTCATGCTTCTTTCTTCTCACAAACCAGATGTCAACTCTTGCGCCTTTTCTTCTTTCTCCCAGTGCACTTCTTCTTCTGGTCAGGTGACCATTTCACAGAGCTCTCTCCTCTCCTTGGTACTCAGAAGCTGCCTGCACATATCCAGGCACTCAGAGGGGAGTGGAGGGGGGGCTCAGGGACCCAGGGCATGGGTCACTTATGGCAGCGCTTCCAGCCACTCCTTCCTGGGCATCTAGGCATAGGGAGGATGTTCCCACCCAAGGGTCAGCCTAACCCCCAGGGCGCCCCTCTGCCAGAGGGCCACAGCCCCTGAAAGGCTTTAGAAGTCCACCCAAGAGCACCCGACAGAACAGCCTTGTAACAAACCTTCCATGTGTGCAAGAGTGAGCACAGCATTTTTTTAAAACATGAAATGAATGTTGTCAAGTAATTTACTTTTCCCCACTGGCCAGATATCCTTTGCAATCGTTATTTAAAAAAAAAAAAAAAAAAAAAAAAAAAAAAAACAGCAAAAACCACAGTTCCTGATTTGTAAAAGAGAAGAATGATGGGGGCGGGAGTGGAGAATGAGAAGGTGAAGGGTTTTACTTTTACTTCTTGCAATACCTAACAAGTATGTGCCTTTATTATTAAATGCACTTAATTATGGGCCACTTCACGCTGTTCCCAGGGCCTCCGTAGAGCCAGGCCATTATAATAAATGCACTGTGTGCCTCAGGGGGTCCCGCTGAAAGGCGGCTAGCCCGCCGGCTCTGTGGTGAGCCCCAGCAATGCTGAGAAGGTCCATTGTTACCCGTGAGCAGCCAGGAGGAATGAATGCGATGAATGGCGCAGTACTTGGTGTGTGCTGCCCGGGACCCTTTGTGTGCCCGGCATCATGACCTCACTGCCCGGGGCAGCCCAGGTCCCCCCACAGACGTGCATCAGAGCGGGAGCACTGGAGCCTGTCACAGGTTTGGAATGAATCATTTAATTCTCTACACTTACACCCATTCCTGTGAACTGTCAGAGGAGGAGAGATCCATCAATGCCAGCAAGTCTCTCTCTAACCAACTTCTGAGGGTGGGAAGCCATTCGGAAGTGGGGCTCTGGAGCCAGCATTGTCCATGTCCTGAAAGGCCGGCTCGGGAGGCCACCGCCCTTCCACCGCCCTTGTGCCTGTCAGCTCAGCCGGAATTCTCTTCCTCAGAGCACAGAGCCCAGAGCCCAGAGGTATGGACCAGGGTAACACCAGCAATAGTCGCTTACTTATTGTGTTCCCTTCTAATTTGTTTCTAACCTTCTAAGCTGATTTCTCCTGTCTGGACAAATTTTCCTGGAATTGCATCTCAGGAATATTTAAATGTTCGCTTGTGCTTAGAATATAGTCCATAGCTTCTTCATCTTACTAAGAGAGAAAATGTCCACTCTTTAACGGTTGCTCCAACCCATCACTTACTGTTTATAAAATTCTCTGACCAAGAGTCTCACTCACTACCATTCCTGGCCAGGCTGCAGCGGAAAGCTCTGGCCTGTTGCCTCTTTCCCCTTTCCTCTGAGGCGGGCTGTGGCCGCATCCTGCAGGCGCTGGCATGGAAAGGCTCCCCGGGTGCCACCTGCAGAGGGAGCGCACACACCTGCATGGGGTTGGTCAGAGGAAGGAAGTTCTGGATGCAGCTCAGCCATTAACACCCTGTGCAAACTTGGGCTAATCGCAGTGGGTCTCAACTGCTTCATCTGTGAATTCAAATTTGGCCAAAATGATCTGTAACCAAAGTTCCATGTTCCTATGTCTCACACAATGAAGTGACTTTGTCCCTCTCTGTCTAACAAGAACTACATCACGTCAGTGCATTTTGCCCCCTGAACCCCACACACATTAGCGCTCTCGCACAGAGGATTTGGGCACCTGTATCAGTTGCCCTAAGAAAAAATGTTCCTGACGGAACGTGCACCCTAAAAGTTATGCAGTTGCCATTAGAATTGAAAAAGGGGCTTTCCCCTCATCAGCCAGACAGTTATTTCTATGGAAATTTCTGACCATTGTCTCTTAATTTGCACTTTGCTGCCTTAAAATAAAACTTCCTATCTACCGATCTGCACAGTGGGATCCAAAAGGATGCGGAATTGGAAAAGTACTATGTGCTGAGAGCTGGCCTTTGTGCCGAGACTAAACAATGTGCAATTGTGCATGTGGTTTTTTTTTTTAATTGTTCAATACTGTAAACAGGATTTGCCGGGCCAGCCTCGCAAGCTGAGACTGATAGGACACTCTCTGAGACACGGTGCTGTCTGGAGCTCCCCCTCCCAGCAGAGCCGGTGTCTGTTCTCGGCTTTGGAATGCCAAGGTTACATAATTTTGAGTGGTGCTTGTGGTATTTGGCCACTCAGAGCAAAGTATCACAGTCCTTTAAGGTGGTTGGGAGCCAGAGGCTGTCAAGAACGACATGTTCTGCTGGAAGGAATCTCATCAAGAGACTTAACTCTAAGGAGCCGCCGGGGGGGTTCCCCCTCAGCAGGCACAGAGCCTCCCTGGGTCTCCCCTCTTCCCACGGGCTCCAGTGAAAGGGTTTGGGAGCCCCCAGCTCTTTCTCTAAAGGAGCAATCAGTATTTGGCAATAAACTGTGGCCCCAAAGATGATTGTGTAACCCCCCAGAGGAGTTTCAGAACATAAGGATTTATTCAAGTTACGGCAACTCTGAAGCATTAGTAGCGGCAGCTGGAGCTTGACCGGGGATGGAGGGAGCGATGTCTGTCTGAGCATCCCGCGGCAGGTGTGTCCTTGATGTAGCCGGCATGTGGCAGGGAGCTAGTGAGCTTGTCCTGAGGCCTCTGGGTAATTGGTCTCATGACGCCATACTTGAAGCCTTATTAACTGAAACAAAGAAAAAGGACATATTTATTTAATCAGACCAGACATTAAAGTTGGAATTTCACATGCAGTATGTGCATATTAATAAATGCCGATGCTGATGTAATAAGGCTGGCCATTTCTCCATACAGTGCTGACTGGACACCTTCCTGGGTGTGAGCCTCAGTGCAGCTCCTTGGTCCATTTCTTTTTACAGATG